GTGCAGATATGATGACAGAGAATCTTGTAGGCTGTTTCACCTCCCATCAAGTGGACCCAGTGCTTGTCTATCTTCCTCTTCTATCAACCCCATTTTTCTGGTTTTAAAAAGCATGTTTTTTTACTAGCATGTGTTGTTCACTAGCCGATCGCGGGTAGAAAGGCAACTTTAGATACTTTGTTTATGCAAAACCCACGAGACGCAGCTACCTATAGGCTCATGTTTTATCTGAGCGGAAAGGCTCCGTATCAAGTGTCAGCATAAATTGTAGACATCTGATACCATATCTGTAAAAGCAGGGTAGTTCGATACCCGTTAACGGTAAAACAAACTGGGTTACAAGGCTTCGCTAATATTGGTACCGTTAGCAATCTGTGGTGATCACATATTCAGTCATCACCAGCTTAACTTGATCTGTGGAACGTTCGTTGACATCAGATAAATGGGTCATGACAACTTTGGCTTACTGTTTAGGTAGTTTAAGTTGGAATTTATTTTATGAATGGTACGTCATTTAACACGTTAATAGTGTAGTATATTTTGGTTTTTAATCTGTGGTTTATATTATTTTATCAGCTCACTGTAATAAAAGATTTTTTTTGATAAAAACTTTTTGATAAAAACAGTGTGGTCATAGTTTTCTTTTTCTAAATAGTCGTAAAGACTATTAAGAAAAAATATTTCTTCATTTATCATTTAATTTTTATTAAAGATAGCAATCGAGATTGCGATAATTATACAGTAACATAATATAAACAATATATACATAAATAGTTTTTCTCGAAAAAAATGCGTTTACATTCTTTTCTTTGTGGAAAACAAAAGAAGGTAAATGAAAAATGTTATTGATTACACCGTTGAAATATAACCCCTACCGAGTCGGCTTTCAACGTGTATTGGTACCCTACACAAAGTTGAAGCAATATTAATCCAATGTCCAAGAGAGAAAACCTTCATTGTCAGATCAGTCGCGTATTACAAGTAATACCAGCTTCGTATCGCATAAGTATTATAGCATCGATTGAGGTTGAGTAACGGGTAACTAGCATGTCGTTGGAGGCCTAAATACATTACACAAATTAATGATATTTTGTATCATTAAGTAAATTGTTACTTGGTTAACATATTAAATACCACGTTATGTACAACTTAGGGTTGCTAAGTGACAGAGATGGGATTTGTCGATGACTAATCGGCGATATATCATTCATATAAATTTTCTTATTTTGAACTCAGTTATTGGTGTATAGTCGTCAAGTTAGCTTAACTCTTTTTTCACGATAGATCTAAGTCTTGGATCTAATTAACTAGCTGAAACAAAAATAAATCCTTTTCCGAATATCAAAGCCAGAATAGGTCGACCACGCATTGTTTAGGTGCTTATATGAATCCCATGCTTATCTGCTCTCGTCTATCAAAAAAAAGATATGAATCAATGGTAACCAGAAAGCAGAACATCTTCGTTAATATCATATTATGTATAATTAAGCAACTAAATAAAAATTAATTTCTAGGCAAAAGTTCGATATAAATTTGATATTAGCAGGATTACTAAAATACGTGCATGCATTTTTTTGTATGAAATGAAAATACTTTAGAAGTATTTTTATACTGAACATAGAATTTTTGTAGTAAAAAATAAAGCGGTAAGAAATTTGATTATAATTTTGCAAACTTGTCTAATACTTCTATATACCGTACAATGTTACAATACATTTTTGGGATTAACCGTCTAATGAATAATATTATGATAAATTTCATGATCTACATCCGTTCCAAATCGTTTGAAATACATTAGGATGTTGATATCGGTAATTCCTAAGACATTTAGTTGTGTGATATTTAAATCAAAACATATTTGAGTTTGTAGGGAAATACCTATTAACAAACGGTCAAGGTCAAAGAATATATTTTATATTACAAATTTACATATATATAAATTACAAAGTTAAACAAGTGTAACATTAAGTTTTACTCACTGGTATTAAAAATACTAAGATTATTTTCTATATTCTAAATCAATAAATATATTGTTTGTAAAAAAAATATTTATTCAGACTTCAGTTTGTACGTAGTTAAAATCTTATTTTTTGTATATGTGAATATTTCTAAGCGTGTTTGTAAAGTCAAAGTCTTTTTTGCATATGAAACATTATCTTTCGAAGTTTCATAAAACGCTACCCTTGTTTTATTTTATATATATTTGTGTACATAATAAATATTTTTAAGTTCTGTTTATTTTAATACAGTGTTTTTAAAGTGCCGGCATTTCCTTACGAGACTATCCTTGACCTAGGCATAAATCCGCGTGCAAATGTTTCGAGCTATGACGTCATCGACCTAATAATGACAGGACATGACGTAGATGCCTATTGTTTGATTCCTACCATAACAAACTCTTCTTAAAAAAATATAGTTTATTTAAACCTATATTATAAAGTCTGTTACTGATTCATATCTTTTTATTATATTTGTTATTAAAATTTACAGAGATAACAATTACATCTTTATAAATATTAGTTACTAAATACTCTTAACATCACTACTACTGGTACGACTAGTAAATTAGGACTAAGATGTAACTTGCTTAGTTCTATTAAAAATATTTATGCTAAGAGGTATCATATCTTATAATTTTCGCCGCAATACGGATGTATCTCGCATGCATATGCATTTTTACATAATGTGGGTGGCAACGCATGATTTGATTTTAAACTCGTTCATAATACAAGCTATGCTATATGCGCGATAGGTAGCCTAACAAGCAAAGAAACACTTCAAACATATTCGTTTGTTTAAAATGATGTGAAGTATGTAACGAGCAAAATATATAACTTAAAATGTTTAATTAAGAACATTGCATACGTTTCACATTTACTCGTCATAGATATCTTAAAACGTCAAACTATTAAACAGAATTTTGCCGAAGTCTGTTAAAAATATCTTTTAAAAATTTATCTCTTTGAAAATGGAATAATTTTTAATTCAAATTCAGAATCGTTTCAAATATAAAATAACTGAAAATTCAAATTTAGAAGAGCTCTACGAAACTGTAGCACGGGGCTACGGTCTACGAAACTCAAGCGCGCTGTGAAAAGTCAATCTTTATCTGGATACGATTCTTTAAAATGATAAACTAATGAAACACGCAAGTGGCCCAAGTGGCAATCGTTCCGGAAAATATATCTAATTACTAGTAAGTTAGGAAAATTCCTCTTACATTGTCTTGTTATAGGAGCATGGCACCTTAATAGTAATAAGTAACATTGTGTGTAAAAAATTTTGACAAAGATAATTATTTATATTATGCACCTTGCAAAACTTTCCTCGGCATTTTATCATATACCATATTAAAACTGATCAAGTAAGCCAGTAAAGAAAAGCTATCAGTAAAACAGACACACAAATGTAAACACTATAATATCATATACGAATTTGAAATTCAAATAATCCTCATAGAATATGTCGCGTCCTGAATTTAACTTTTAGAAATCTATGCAATATTGAATAAAAATGTTAGAACGCAACAGACCATTCCACTTCGCTCGCTAACAGACGCGTTTTAAGAGAAAAGTGCCGAAAAGCAGACGACCGTTTGAAATATAACAGACGCCATTAATATTGACCTAAGTTGGGAGCGCCTCGTTTTCTAATGGCAACACAAACAAACTTTCTATACCAAAATTCGCCTTTCACCGGCCAACAACTCCTCTTCGCTCATTTTCTCCTAGTACATACGGCGCGTGTAGATTTTTTCTACACGTTCAAAACGCCGAATTCCGAGTTCGTTGTGCTAGTTTCGGATACCGTTTGCCGACCTACCTTCACAAAATGTACTCTTTTCCAACAGTTAGATTCACGCATTAAAAATGCTGAGCGGAGAGATTGTCAGTGGTAATGCATTTATATCGACGTGCAGAATTTAATAATCATTTCGTCTGATTTCAGATGGAATTTAAATCAGAATAAATATGATTAGATTTTACTTTAAAATATGTTATATTGAACATCACAATTTTACATCTGATCTCGTCTATGTAAAAAGTGGATTTTTTTTTGACACTGGCGTGATTCGAACCCATGACAGCGTAACATGTTGCTGCTACCGACATGACGCGGTACTTCACTTTCTTCACAAGACAATTAAAAGTAACCAAAATTTTTATAAAGTCTTTTATTTTAAAGATAATAAATAATATGATACTATCTATGTATTTCTCTCTAAATTACTCGTCACACAGAAAAAATCTACACAAAGACACGATCCCGCGATTAATTTATGCAAAATATATCATGCACGCACGGTAAATCGCAACATAAATAGATTATGGACTAACAATGAGACTCATTCAAACGACTTCCGCGAGAAAAGCCCGCGAAAAACCCGTTAGCATTTTCTTAACTGTCAATGGTGCGCGCGCAGTGACATTAGGTTCATTCGACAGGTAATTCATTATTAATAATGATGACATTTCCTGACCTGGAGTTAACTTTTTTTATCTTTGAAAGACATTGCTAACAATTATAAAAGTATTTACTAAGTATTGGATTTTCATACAAATTGATAATATTACGCTTTTTCGATATTTCTGTTATACACTCAAAATGCTATATTATATGTAACATTAAATAAAATTTAAAATAATATTTCAAGTTCTTTTTTATAAGTTTCGTGCAAATATTTCGTAAATTTTAATAAAAATAATAATATGTATTGATTCATTAATATATGGTATTTTTAAAAGTAACATTTTTATATTTGAAATCTTTTATATATTTACATATTATTGCACATGACGGCACTTTATAAAAAAAATACGACACGGGCACAATTTGAACCGGCCTTGGACAAAATCGATTTTATTTATTTTTTGCATTTTTGCTAACTCTACCGAGTACCCAATTATAATCCAAGTACGTAAACATCATTGCACTTTGCGCAGCTATAATCCGCCGAATTGCGAGGTACCAAGTCACGTGTTTGTAATACTCTTGGTGTATTACCATCCGTTCATGGTCGAGGTGCTTTTAGGCAAATTGGGTGAAAGGTGAACGAACCGTCGAATCATTTCACCGGCCGTTGACTCACGACAGTGCGATTCCACTGCTATCATTATTGGCCGAATTTCTAACGGCGGCATGACATTCGGAATTTGAATTTGACGTTTCTTTGTATTTGACGTTTCGAATTCTCGCTGCGTCCGCGCCGAGATTTCATATGGAAATCGGATACCCGTAGCTGATATGGAATGAGGGGCTACAAATTAGCTTTCGAGACAACGCCGTCGCCTGTAATAAAATCTACTCGCTATTCGAGTGAACTTGAATATATTTTAAAAAGCCTGTCCGAGCATATGAAAATCTTTCCACATACTACAATTTTGACAAGATATGTTACTTTATAATTTTCATACAACGTTGATTATGGAATATTATTAGATCCACGAAAAGGTGTTACAATAACACCGATTTCTATTCTCCTTGTAAAACTTCAATTAACGTCACCTCAAACGTTGCTGGTAACACTGACAAATCATTGCCCAATCAAAGACCATTCTAAATTTAAATTAATGATGTCATATTGTTTACGTTAAAGAAAGTTACAAAACTCACTGACTCACCAAACATTTCCTTGAACTTTTTCACTTCATTCATGCCGATATCATGAGTCTCAATGTTATGTAAACTCTATGACGTCTTAAATGTTGTAAAGAATTGACGCCGGAGATTGCTTCAATGCAAATGCCACGACGTATGTAAGGACAGTGGTGTCGAGCAACTTCGAAGTGGCTATAACCGACCTTTGATCATATCTGCTTACGTTACGCAGGTCCTGAGTTCGAATACCGAAGCATTATCTTTATTTACAATCAATCAATGAGAAAGACGAAGATTGTGCCCCATTCACCGCGTTTTTTCTTAAGTTTCAGCTTGTTAATTTTCGTTAAACATACATTTTTAGCCCGGTCTTGGGGCGTCTCTGACCGCCTCTGTAGCCAAATGGTTAAACGTATTGCCTAGCATTGCGTTAAGCACAAGAGGTCCTGGGTTCGAATCCCAGGGAAACACTGTTGTTGCGGTCAAGCAGGGCACAGAAGTATGTTCAACTACTTGCCTGTTAAAATAATGGATATGAAACGGACACAGAATGTTTCGCCCCTGCCAGAGGGAGAAACGGGCTTTCACTTTTTTGACTTTTGCTTATCGAAAGTTTGTTGATTCTAAAATTTTTAACAAATCTAGTTTTAAACGTTAATTTTTATTTAAGAGTACCGCTCTCGACAACTTAAGATTTTTAAATTTCTCTCAAATACGTATATGTACGAATTCCTTCAAGTCATTTTATTAAATGCCTTCCCTGAAAAACATTTCCCTAATATTCTTTTAGCTCGTATAAAAATTACACGGTAAAAATAACTTTATGTTACTTTGCTTTAGAGTTTCATTTTGCTTGTAGAGTTGCGGGGTCGATGACTTTTCACCTATTTACATTTTGCACGGAAGGAAATATACGCGATATTTGGTAGTTACTGGCACATTACGTTCAATATACAGTCATCGTCTTTTATATTATATGCTTTACAATATATATAAAAATGAACTATATATAGCAATCGATTAAAAGTCATTAATTTTTAGAAGAACGTTGTGGATACTGTTTCAAGTTTCGCCTATGTCCCACATATTTTTTAACTAAATAGACTTTTAATTTAGGAGTGTTGCCTAACGTAACAGAATACCGAGAAATCATAATAGTATCGTTCTAACAGGCACATAAGTTATCCCCTACACAGAGGAAAAGAAATTTATCTTTTCTCATAATGCTATTAAATAGTCAAAATTTCGCAGCTTAGAAATAAACTTTACTACATAAAAATATTGAAGTTTGAGCAAAAAACGTGGCGGTCTCTTTTGGAAGTTATTTCATGATACACAAAGGACTTACATACTTCACTCTTCGTGTAGTTTGAAGGCTTTATCGCTTTCCAGCGATCTCTTACGCTGTCAGGCGTAGACTTATAACTACAAATTGAACTTGTATTTGTAGTTTAACTATAATATTAAGCTAGCTATAACAAAGTGTAATGTTTTATGACATGGTAGCTCAAATGGTTAGAGCAGCGAGGATCTATAGATAACGGTTCAAGACCCGCCAGTATCGCGTTTTTTTTCAATCTAAATAGTTTTTTAATTTATATAATGTTTTAGTTAATTTCCTTGACGACGCGAAGTATTTCAGAACTTTTACGCGACTTAAACAACGATGGCTGAAAACTTCTCGTTATCTAAATAATCGCAATATTCTCTACTATCTCACTTGTTGCTAAGGAAACGAAAAATTTGACCGCTTGCAGTTCAGGTCGTTGACTCTAGCGCATCCACATTTTGGCTAGTTCATACACTACGTGACGAAATTTTTTAATTTCGTCTCTCTCTCGCGAATTAATATGAGCCCAGGTGTGAAGGGAGTGGTTATATTACCGAGATGATAAATAAGTTTGATAAGGCGGTTTGAAGTATGTGACTTTGAAAATGTTTTAAACGAATTAAATCTCTCTCTCCAACATATACGGGATATAACGAACCTGGCAACATAATTCAAATTCGCCATGTGTTAAGTACAGAAACACAGAAACTGACACAAAAAATGTCTCGCGAGTGCTTTATTTTTTTGGTCTCCCTGCTTTAATAAACCTAAATGAATTTTATATAGATATCAACAATTGATATTAACGTGTATAGAGCCAAACTATACAACAATTAACATAATTACTTATGTAAAACGCTTTTTATTATGTTAAAATCTTATTACCATGAAATAATTATTTCAGATTCAATAATACCATAGATAAAGTTATGTTTCCTTATAAAATATCTCTATTATCTATCTATACTCTATTATCTTTTATTTATTATACTTTCGAAATAAAATGCATAATAGCATGTTATAGACCATTTGAGTATTAGGTTACATATGCAATTAATTCTCTAATAATTCGACAGATTATTTTATAATCCGCTTTTATCATGTTAGAGTTTTGATTTCAATCATAAGCCCGTTATTTCTACAAACATGACGTTGGGCTGTCAAAAAAATTAAGTATGTATCCTCAGAAATATGTTTGTGTTTGATAATAAATGATATTATAATATGTATATATGCTATATAGTCTGTAGACAATAAGGCAATACAATTTCTCCATTATCACTGTGGTGGACTATTTTAGCCTAACATATTTAAACATTTTAAATAAAACTCTTTACCCTATTTTTAGTTAAACTTATTTGAAAATTATTTTTAACTACGGCCCGGCGTTTCGGATGCTTTGCAGCAGCCGTGGTCAAGGGGAGACATTAAAAATAATTTTCAAACAAGTTTAACTAAAATATGGCACGTTTTAAACCGTTAAAGTGTTTTATTTAAATGTGTACTACTCGCGTAAACTCCAGACAATATTTATATTTAAACCTTCTTTGAAAAGTATACACGACTACCTCACATCGTCGCGATCACAATATTTATTGTTTATCGTACTAAATCTTCTACGTATTACAGTCGAAAACCGTCACGCAAACACCGAATGGCAAGTTGCTCCAATTGCATTCAAAATAAGAAACTTCGAGAATCCTTAATCCTAACTCCTCTCCGGATTATGTAACGGGCGATTACTTAGGCGCTGACATTTGATTTCCTTTTATTAAACTCCGTTGACCGTTCCTTGAACCACACTGCCATACATCAGCTTTAGTATTTTTATCGGCAAAACGAATGTATTCTAAATAAATCGCGCATACGCACTAGGGTTGTCTATCAATTAAATTCGTTACGTAATCCCTCATATAATACACGCGGCTTCATCGCGCAAATATCTTCGTAACATATTTTCGACCGATTCTGCTACATTTTGAGAAACAAGCGTTCATATTTATCTTTACATCTCAGAAGCAACTGGTAACTAATAAGGAAAAGTACTTAATCGCGCAATGAAAAATCTAGTTTGCATTGTATAAGTTTCATTGTGTTGTATTTGTTTTTATTTTGGCTTTTTTAAATGTAATTACTGATTTAGACACAAGCAATATATAATATAAATAAGATGATCTTTATATAAACTGAAATCGAAAGTAGGGAGTTAAAGAAAGTGTGCGTAATTATTCTGATTAGAATGTGTTTCTTATTAGTAGACTTATCGCTTATAAGAATCTATCGTGCTATATTACAAGATCATTGAAGCTTTTTGCTTGACACTTTTTTTTATTTAAGGAGTCAGTAACCCTGTTGATCTTGTGGCATTTCGTATTAATGAAAAAGCGTTCGCTGTCTTATTTTAATTTTATATCAATGAAAATTTAAGCAGTTCGACAACTTTTATATTGTTTATGCGAAAATATTTACATCTCATAGATAGGATGACGTTTAGATGCAATCAATTGGTGATAAAATTATTTAACTCTATATTAGTTATCGTATTTCCAAATACTCTTTAGAAATTGTTAAACATCACATTTTAGATTTAGACATGTATATTTGGCTATCGTGTGTAGCAAAATTTTCAATATTAACGATCAAATCTATACTAATTTATAGCTCAAGAGATTGTTTGTTTGTTTGTTTGGAGGCGCTAAGCTCAGGAACTACTGGTGTAGGATTGAAATTTTTCGATATGTGTTGGTTAGAGCATTTATAGAGGTAGGCTAAATAAGACCGTGCTGTGACTAATAGGAGCGAAAAAACAGCGGGAAATGTAAAAAAGAAACGGGAAAGATTTTTCATCTTAGAGGGTGTCAAATCCTGCGAAAGCAGCTAGATACCCAAAAATATTTGTGAAAGAATGATTCCTCTAAATGATCTAGAAAAAAGTCCGCAATACTATATATCTATCTTTTCAAGGTAACTTGCAAGTCTGACCGAGGTCGTGAGTTACAGTCTAAATTTTTAGAGGTTTGCAAAAGCAAATTTGGATGCCCAATACAACTCTTCTACGTGAACGAAGTCGCTGACACAGCTACTTTCTAATAGAGTCAAATAAAATAAATGTATTTCGTCATTAAAATCACGAGATATACTATTTGTGTAAAAAATCGTCTAAACAATATATGCTCGAGAATTTGGAAAAAAGGGCGGTCAACAGCAAGGTCTGTCAAAATCCACAACACTCGGTCAAAATATAAAATATTCTAATCGCATTGTCACTGACCGTTACTTATGATTTACAGCCCGCTACTTACAGTAAAGGATTTTGAGAAATGGCCACCGTCAGAATTCATGCAATAAAATTCTATACGTTTGTTGTTTTATGGTAAAAATCTTTAGTGTATTCGGGACCCGGAGCGGTAGACGCGTCCCGCAGGGAACGGTAATCTTTGTGAAACTGTTCTTGGGCGATTTTTTTATACGACAACCGTACGGACCTTATTGCTTTGAGGTTTATGGGATTCTATAGTCTTTGCTATTTTATTGACGTTTCCGTTAGTTCTATTGTCTGTGATTTTAACTCTTTCACATGATGACTCATTATTTTATTATTCTTGGTTCCTACGACATGCATTAGATATATTTAGTCAAAACCTTTTTTGATGTAGTTGTAGGATCAATTTTCGCCTGATACAAATAAGATTTGCTGATTTATTTAAACACGAGGGATCCAAAGTCA